CAAATAAATAAAAAAAAAACAACAAAAAAATAAAAATGTTTCTAAATAAACAAATTTATAAAGTTCAAAAATATAGAAAAAATACTAAAACAAATATTTGTAATGATAAAAACTATTTATCAAATCAATAAATATATACTAATATTCAAAAAAGTGTTTATTTTGCACTACTATTTAAATGAGTAATATATTCAAGAAAATAGTAGTGCAACTTGGGCGAACACAACCTATACTGAATAAAATATTTAATGCATCACTCAAGAATTTATAGAGATGTTTATATAAATACTGAAACAATAGCAATTGTTAATTAAAATTCCACAACAAGCAAATCAGATGTTTTTTAATTGAAATTCACATTTAATTTTTATGTAGAAAAATAATAATTAAAAATATTAATATATTTATATCAAAATTGAGGAACAAAAACACCTTAGAACAATTTTTTGATATATAAAAAATTGTCATTGAATTTTATATAAAATGATTTTCAATTAAATACAACTTTTTATATCAAATTGTGTGATTTGGAATTTAAATCGTAGAATTCGTAAATAATATTTATTCTGATAAAAAAGTTCGCATCGAATTCCGTATGGAGGTAAACATGTCTGATTCTGTTTTACCAATCGGCCTCAATTCCCTTTCGTTTGGCTTGCAGGAACAGGACTATGCGGCGGCAGCGCATGCAGCTGCGTTCGGGGCCAATATGCTGCCCACGACGATCAGCTCGGCCTTTCCGCTGGCCCACAATTCGGTGGCAGCCGCCGCGGCAGCTGCATCCTTTGGCCATGCGGCCAATGCGGCGGCCGGCAATGGCGCCAGCTACAATGGGGGCGCYGCTGCTGCTGCAAGTGGAGCAGGAGGAGCTGTGGCAGCTGGCAACAATAATGCAGGTGGCCCAGGTGGAGGCAACAGCGGTGGCGGTGGCGGTGGCGGCACGACCAATGCAACTGGCAACAATAGCAATAACAACAATAGCAACAGTAACAGCAACAACAACAACAGCAGCAGCAACAATAACAACAACAACAACAACAACAACAACAATGCCGGCAATGGGCATCCCTTTTCGTTTGCATCGCCGACAGCGCCAAGCGCCAAAGAAGGTTGGTATGGGGCTGGGGATTAGCCGGTGCTTAAACTGTTGAACTCAGCGCGTCATTTTGCAGCTAATTCCGCATCAAATTCATCGACGTCCAGCGAGGCATCCAATTCATCGCAGCAGAATAATGGCTGGAGCTTTGAAGAGCAGTACAAACAAGTCAGACAGGTTAGTGTTAGTCAATTTAATCTCTTTGCAAACAAGGCAAGCCAGGCCAAGCCAAGCCAACAGCAGCAACAACAACAACAACAACAACTAAAGACTCTCTAGGGGAGATGCGGCGATGCGGCGATGCGGAGCAGAGGCTCGGGTCCAGCCGTTTAGGCAAACTATCAATTAACGGCTAATAGCCAAGATCTTGAACCAGTTGCCTTTCCGTTAAGATGAGTCGAGTTTGTGTCTCTGTCTATCTCTGCCTAACTCCCTACCTCCCTCCCTCTCTCACTCTTTGTCTCAGTTACGAGTGCAGCCGGGGGATGCGCCAAGTTTTGATCTCGTTTTGACGCTTCGGCCCGAAGCTGTTCACATGCAATAAAGAGTTCCGGTTTGCTGCAATTGAGCAATTAATGCTCACATCTTGAGCACACACACACACAGGCATACACACACACTCTCGCTCTAATTTGGTGAGAAAATAGCCAGTTTATTCATCTTTTTGGCTCTGCTTACGAGAGATGCTGGGCGGTCCACAAGTGCCCAGAAGTGTTGGGCTGTTTAGGCCTGAATTTCTACACGCATGGCTGCAGAGCCAGCGTGAAATTTGTAGCAGAAGTGCACAATATCGAGTAATTAAAATAGTTTGGGTCTACTCTAGGGCTTCGTTCGCTGTTCGCTGTTCGCTCCTCGCCGTTGCCAAATTGTTGCGCCGTGTGAACCGCAACAGCTTTTGCCGCTGGCCATAAAAACTAAACTTCGATTAACGTTCGCTCGGCCCGAATGGCCCGGCGCATCGCGTACACCCCCTTCGACTCTTTGACTCTCCGGCACACCGACTCTCTCCCACTGTCCGAGTCTCTTTGGTAATTCATCAAACAGCCCGCATTCTCTATGCACTATAAAAACTTTGACCCTTACACATAAAGAGAGATACAAATGTATCTCTGTAGCTGCGCTTCACGCTTATAACACCTTCCGAGGCTGCAAACCGGCTTAGTGAACCAGCCAACGCCTACCAACCAGCTGCGAGCCTCTCTGCACAGCTCAGCTCAGCTCTACTCGGTTGCTCTCTGGCTTCTGGTAGGTTCCGTTGGACCCCTTTCTTGGTTGCCTAATCCCTTTCAAGCAGCTACAGTTTGATGCCGCTGCTGCGCCACAAAATGGCGGCTTTCATTAATTTGTGAAAATGTGGCCAGCGCTGCTCAAAACGATAATTATGTTAATTGAGTGAGTGAGCTGCCGCGTATGAAAAGCCATTTTGAATTTGTCTGCCGCCGCCTCGTGAGATGCCAAAAAAGAAAATCATTCTACACGGGTGTGGGGCAACTGCGACTGCGACTGTGACTGCGACTGCGACTGCCGCCCCAACGCCACTCGCCTTCATCGTCATCGTCATCAGACATCCAAAGCAACTATCCATCCATCCATCTATCCATCCATCCATCTATTCAGCTCTTCATCTCTTCAGACGAAGACGAAATATTATTTTGGTATTTTTTTTCCTCGTTTCTATATGATTTAGTTTTGCTTTATATATATATGCATATATATTCACATATATATATATGTAGTTGGCTTGCTCTCATTAATCAATGTCAATTATCTGTACATACTGAATAATTATGTTTAATTATAGACAGACCCCAAAGCATTTTCCAATATTATTTTATTTTATTTTATCATACGAACATTTCCTTTGTATATACATATATACATATATATTGTATATATATATATACAATTGCACTTTCTGGATTATGAAACTGTTGGCGCACTGTTGCCCATTATTTCGTGTTAATAATTATTTATTCTATTGCCGATTTGTASGAAAAGGCAATGAATTTCCATTTTAATTATGGGCAGCGAACGTTCTCAAATAATTAACACAAATACAAAAAAAAAAAAAAAAAAAAAAAAAAAATTATCGCCGTTGGCAACTCTTGCAAATTAGTTCACTTTTGTTTTATAACTTACATTTTATTGGTCCATTTCAAAAAATCGATTTATTTCGGCCCGCTCAAGACCAGACCCAGCCCATACGTAAATATAATTCGTTTTCATTTCGGACTTTTTGGCAATACGGCAAAAGTTTTCACTTTAAGTTTTTAGTGCTTTTATTGTAGTGAAATTGGCTTATGGGATTTTTTTTTATTTTTTTTTTTTTATGTAATGTCAGAGAGTAAGAAAATGAGATTCAGAATATGAAGAGAGTATGTTGGTTTTGCATAGTCTCTTGACTATGGGTGTGGCACGCTCTTGATGAGAACAGATTAGATATTGAAACCATCGATAGCCCCCTCTATATTCATTAAAGGCGTGGCAAACCAGGCCTTACTATATATACTATAAGAGAAAAGAATTAAATAGAGATTTGAAATTTTAAGTAGATGCTCTTTGGTATTCTCATCTCAAGATCGTTCAGATGTTCTTCTTTTAACACAATTCGGGATATACTAGATCTACATATAAGCCAACCAGCAAGGATCAACAGTATGTAGTAGATATATCCATCTGGTAAACCTGTATATTCCAAAATATTAAAACCAAAAAATTTCAAAATTACCGCAGATTTCTATTGTTACCAATTATTATACATTGAACGGGTATTTTGGAGTCACTGAGGTCCGACTTTCTTACCTCATTCCATTCTGTGCGAATCTTATGAAATTCAAAATGCTTATTTATTCAATGAATTGCTGCTGCAATCGAGGTGGATTTGATTTGTGTGTCATTTATATTTTTCGCCTTTGAGCTGCTTTTAATCAGTAAGCACTGTACTTAAAGAAGTGCTTAAATCAACAAAGGCCATAAAGTACAACAAAAATGAAAGAGGAAGAGAAATAAAGAAGGCAACAACGAAACCTCAACGAATTTCAGTTAATTAAAGTGAACAAAACAAAAATCTGGTCAACAGATTTTCAATAACGAGTGTGAAATTCTTAAATAAATATGTACACAAGATACACACACACACGCACACTACATGTGTGCCTCTGTATGTGTGTGTGTGTGTAATGAGCATGTGTAAATGAGACTGGACAAATTATGAGGCGATCGAACGAGGCGAGCTCGGAAAGAAACATGCAACGGGATCTTGTCATATAATTTTTAGTAGCATTTCCATTTGGAAACCTTGCACTTTCCATGCTGATAGTTATAAATTATACACACATACACACACATACACACGCAGGCACACACACACACACACTGGCACACATTAACACACACTTTGATCTGGCAAAACGCATTTGACAATTCCCAGAATCAAGGATTCAAATTTCAAGCACACATTTTTAGGTACTAGTCCGCAATGCTAGCGACAAATAAGTGAGATTATTTTTATAACCGAACCCCGAGTGTGTATCTATATATATGTGTGTGTGTGTGCCATGTGTCCTCAACAAACCGTGTGCGAGTGTGTGTGTGTAGTTATAAAAACGATTATGATTGGTCTAGAACTTCTGTTAGGGTATTTTATTGTTTTATTGCCAAAGACTAGGCGGATTTGTGAACTTGACCTGCGCTTGCGGCTGCCGCTGCTCCTGCCGCTGCTCCTGCTGCTGTGATGCAAGTCCGCAACCAATTTCCAGGACTCGGGCCATATGGATTTGGACAAGGGTTGCCTGGGCAGGCTAACCCAAAGCGAACTTCATTTTTATTAGGTACATATTATTAATGCACACACACAGACAACTGAGGCAGGCAGACGTGCAGCCCAAGGCGCACATAGATACGCACACACATGCACATGCACACGCACACGCACACTTACACATATTTGATTTGTACAGCGACGTCAGCGTCGATTGCTGCACTCGACGGCACATTCACATATTTTTAGTTGATAAACGACCTTTGATGGCGTTGCATCGTCGCGTTGATCAATCGATGTGGCTGCAACCTGCGTGAAAGATATTCAAGTTGATCAAAAAACCAACAGAAAAAGGAAAAGGAAAATCGAAAAACCGTTGAGCAGTGCAACAAGTTTGCAATTAAACAGAAAAAAAAATAAAAAAAAAAAAAATAAAAAACAAAGTGAAAAGTGTTTGAGTGTGTGTGTGTGTCTTAATCAATCAATTGCCAACATGCTCATCTCCGAGGATCAAATACAGGAGGTACTCAAAAGCAACAACAACAACTGCAACAAATATGATCATAAATATTGCCAATTCATAGGCATTCAAACTCCACTCAAAAGTTTAATTAAAAATGCCAAAAAAAAAAGCAAAGCAAAAATAAATAAATAACAAATTTATTTCTTTTTGGTTTTTGGCCAAAAGTCCGTGAAAAAGCATTAAACGTAAAAGCGCTTCAAGTTGAGCTTCAATCAATTTCTGCAGCCGGCATAAAGCGGAATATATGAAATACGCATATGCTGATACACATACAAGCAGACATATGCACACACATATATATGTATATATGTATAAGTAATGTTGATATATATGTGTATTTCTACACACACTATAACTCTTGTGGGCGTCGTGCATCATAAAAAACAAGCAGCCAGAGAGCCGAGCCAGCCAGTCGAAGTTGCGGCGAGTTGTGTGTTGCAGTTGCATTCGCTGAATTCGGAGCTCCAACTCTCAGGTTGGGGGCAATGGCAATGAATCGGCGCGGGCTCTGACTCAGAGACTCAGCCTCAGCCTCAGTCCAGCTCAGACGGAGAGTCAGCTGAAGCAGCAGCAGCATCTGCACGTTGTGTTGCTGGGCTACAGTCGCGTTTTAAATCATTTATGCGAGTGGGGATGCGAGGCAGTTCATCATCATTCGCATTGACTTAGAATGTGCACCCAAAGCCGAAGACAGAGGCAACAGAGAGCAACAGCAACAGCAACAGCAACTCCAAGCCAGAGCCAAGGCTTGTGCTTGTGCCTGGGCCTTTGCCTGTGCCTTAGCTTAGTAGGCGGAAAGTATGATGAATTCCAAATTTGATGAGTTCACTCAGATGTTGTCATTAATTTTATACACAGAGAGACACACACACACATGAGTGTGTGTGTGTGTGTACGTATAGCAGAAGGTTTTAGCTAGGCTCCTATAATTTAACTAAGAAACAAAACACATAAGGCCAAAGGAACTTCGCTGGCAAATGGGTTAAAGGTCAGAGTGTGCGCCTGAGGAGCCATGAAGTAGAGAGAGAGGGAGAGAAAAAATACGAAATAAAAGAGAAATGAATAATCACGAATATGTACAACAACTAGTGAATACTTAGAATACTACATGAATATAGATTGCTGGAATGCCATAATGATTAGTGCAGAGAAAGGTATAAAAGGTATGCAGTTGGGTTCATGGATATATTAGTGGTAGTAGAAATAGTAATAGTAGTTGTAGTAATGGTAGTAGTAGGAGCAGTAATAATATTCATGAAAATAGTAGTAGTAATAGTAGTTGCTCAAGCAAATAGTAGTAGTAAGAGTAGTAGCTTAAGTAAATAGTAGTAGAAGTAGTAGCTCAAGCAAATAGTAGTAGTAGTAGCTCAAGCAAATAGTAGTAGTAGTAGTAGTAGTAGCAAATGACGATAGTAGTAGTAGTATGAGCAGGTCATGAAAATAGTCGTAGAAAATAGTAGCTGCTGTAGTAGCGTCAATTTCTACTATTCGAATTCTTTCAGTTAGCCAAATTTAAATAAATTAATAATATAAATATTTGGCTAGTCGAGGACCAAAGATAAATGAAAATCGTAGTAGCTGTAAGGTTCATGAAAATAGTAGTATTAGTAGCAGTATTTTTCATTAAAATAGAAGTAGCAGTAGCTGGAATTTATAATATTGGAATTGAGAGTAGGGTAAAGTAAATTAAAATTTGTGAAATAAAAAAAATGCATTTTCACACTTTAATAATTATTTAACATATCTTTAGCTAAATTTAAAAAATATTCTAATATATTTAGCTGATTCATAAACAAACACATTTGCCTTTGTTCTCTTTATATCCATTGCTCGGAATTGATCTGAAATGAATTTATTGCTTTATACAAAGAGTTTATCGCATTTCCTTGCCCCATCTCATTCGAACTGCATGTTTCGCTGTACATAGAGACCTAAATACATAACTACTACATACAAAGATTCTCATCTTTATCACCTAATTATGAATTGTGCCAGGCCACTCGCTCACACGCTCAACTCAAGCCTCAAGCCTTGCCCTTTTTAATGCTCATTGGGGTGTTTCACACGTTTTGCCTTGGTATGCGTGAGCGCTTGCAACCCCCAGTGAGTGAGTGAGCGACTGACTGACTGCCTGAGTGAGTGAGAACGAGAAAGAGAGAGAGASAGGGAGTGAGAGAGATAGAGAGTAGCATTTAGAGAAACACGCGCCCCTGTTGTCGCCAGACCTAGGGTCGAGCCATGTCACGGCGTCTATTGTCTGTTAACCAACACCGAAGCGAACAACAAAAAACAGAAGAGAAACACGAGTAAACAACACTGCACAACACAATAGAATAGCGTGTGGCAACCATTTTGTGCCAATCCATTGGCCCACAAGTCAAGTATTTGAGCCCCTATTATTGTTCATTGATTGTTAGCGCAATAATATATGAATATATGTATGTTTGTATATATGTATATTTATATATGGCAAATCATCATAATAATGGAATGTACTACACTGTGATGAACAATGATAGAAATAATTTGCATAATAATTATAATACTAATGATAATTAGTATGCCAATGATGATGATTAAGATTGAAGCTAGGGATTATGATTATGATTATACATATATACAAATATTAAATAATGATAATTACATGATTATATACAAACACATATATTGATAATCGTAATAGAAGTGGCTATGTAAATGATCATGATAATGAGCATACTTATGGCTATGATAATGCCAGAGCTGATTTTATTCAAGATTCCGAAAATAATTATGATTCGTATAGGATTTTTTTTGTTTAGTAATATATTAAAAATA